ATTACATCACGTTAGATGTTAACAGGCACAGTTAAACTTCAAAAATCAAATTCACCTTTTTGTAACTTCTATTTCTCCTACTTTTAAGTACAAATGTTAAAGGCAGGTATATTAGTCCATTTCTATCGCTTATAACAGAACACATAGAACTGGATGATTTGTAAGAAAACAAAACTTATTGCTTAAGTTTCAGATGCTGGGAAGTCCAAAGTCCAGGACTCACATCTGGTGAGGGATTTCTTTGGTGGTGGCTTTACTGCAATGCAGGGGTCTCACATGGCAGAAAGTGGTGGAGCAGAGAGAGAGAGAGACTCTCATGTGCTTTTTTTTTTTTTTTTATTGTGACCGGTAAGGGGATCGCAACCCTCAGCTTGGTGTCGCCCTCACCGTGCTCAGCCAGTGAGCGCACCAGCTATCCCGCGGGATCCGAACCCACGGCAGGAGCGCCACTGCGCTCCCAGCGCTGCACTCTCCCGAGTGAGTCATGTGGTCAGCCCATGTGCTCTCCCTTTAATTCCTTCAGAAACATGCCCTTGACCACCATTATTAATACATTCACTACTCCGTGGTCCTATAATCTAATCACCTCTTCAAGGTCCCACCTTTCAAGTACCATAATAGGATTTCCCACCCTCAGCAGTTAGTCAGGATTAAACTTCACTGAGGCTAGGGGAGCATCCAATCTACAGCAGCAGGAGACACAGAAAAAAGAATTGTGACCTTACAAAAACATATATTTCCTGCTTTCAGAAAATGTTATAATGTCGATTTCCACCTAGTGTTTCTCATGCTCTAAAGATGAAAACAAGGGAAAGACTAGGGGATGTGACTTATTCACCTTTATGTAACCATAATCTAGCACACGGTTGGGACATAGCGGAAACTCAATAAATATTCAGTGCTAAACTGAAGGAAAGAGAAGATAATTTTAAAGAGAAAGGGAATTATGTTTTGCTAAGTGTCATACTTTTTATATTGTTGACATAGCAATTACCACAAGTTTAGTTGCTTAAAACAACATAAATTTACTCTCTTATAGTTTTGTAGGTCAGAAGCATGACATGGGTCTTGATGGGCTAAGATCAAGGTGTTGGACTGGACTATATTCCTTTCTGCAGGCTATAGGGAAGAATCCATTTCCTTGTCATTTTAGCTTGTAGAGGCCACCACATTCTTTGGTGAATGAGTCCCTTATCCCATCTTCAAAGGTAGCAACAATGTCCATTTCACATCACATCCTTCTGACTCTCTCTTTTTCCCTTTCTACTTTTGAGAACCCATGTAATTAAATTAGGTTTACCCCAATAATACAGGATAATGCTATCTCAAGGTCAGTTGATTAACAAACCTTTTGCATCTGCAACTCTAATTCTCTTTTGCCAAGTAAAACAACATTTCAGAGATCCTGGGGAATGGGATGTGGACATTTTGGACACCATTCTTTTGACTATCCCACTAAGGCTTTAGAAAAATGTATAAAAAAATAAAAAGGTATCCATCTGTTATCTTTAGAATTTTAAGATATCAATACAAGAGATAGAATTTACAAATATAATATTTGATCCTTTTCTTAAAAGACTTGAAAAGGATACATATCATATGCTATTACAATGTATCTAATATATTATAATACTATAGTTGCATTTTAAACATAACATTAGTACTTCATTTCAATTTTATCATTCTTAACAATAACAAAAAAGTTGGACCATTAGGATTTATACATGCAGAACTTCTAATTGTAAAAGCAGAAAATCAACTTGCACTCTGTGATATAAAACAGTATAATTACTTCACACAGCAACTCAATTTAAGATTAAAAAAAGGCCATTTATATTAAAGAAAAAATATAAATGTTAAATATGTAGTCAAAGCATACTCAACCATATAGCAATTTAAATGGACTTCATTCACTATCTTCTTTAATTCAAAAAATGCCAGAGCTAGCATATCAGCTTCATGGATTAAAACAGTGTTTTCTATCACTATATTTACAGTCAAATTATTTTTTAGCTAATAATAAGTATAATTTAATATTTAACTGATTAAGAAATAATTTCTTTATTTATAGATTGATTATAATGTTACTTTTACTTCTATCACGTGTTTTTTCTTTTTATTTTGCTCAGCAGAAAATCCATCAAAAAGGAAAATATCTGCATCGAAAGTAAAATTGTTGATTAAAATAAAACTGTATTATTACCAATATTTAGAAATAACTAATGTTCATATACATAATATAGTAGTAAAATGTATATGGGTAAAAAGGTCTTTATAACCTTTAGAGAGGTACAAGACTAAATGTGAACTAAAACTTTTCTTTCTAATCACAATCAAACTATACCATACATAGTATGACACTTATATATTATATATTTATGTGTAATATTTATATACATTTATTTTATATGATATATAATTATGTGTGTATATATTATATATTTTATATATTGATATGTTATTCATATATTTATATAAATATAA